CGCCCGAGGGTTCGGATCCCACGTACAGACCGGTTCCCGCTCACTGGCTGAGCGAGGCGCGGGAGCAGCACCGAGGGTTGCAATCCCGTTGCCGGTCCCTGGTCCGGTACGGGGGCAACACTGAGGGTTGCGATCCGTTGCTGGACACGGAAAAAGATAAAAAAAAGACAAAAAAAAAAAAGATGTCTTCAGTTTTGCAGAAGTGACATCTGTGAATATAACTCATAATTTTAAATGATTTATTAAGAGTAATTGCTTTAGATCAGTGTCATTCATAGCAAATTAATTCTGATTGATGGAGAATGCTGCTTTATGGGTTTTTATATTATAAAATTAGTTTAAGACTATTTTTGTTGTTAAACTCATTTAATCCTCTACCCTACTCCATTCTTTCATTATCCTTACAAGTTTTAGTTTTGTTTAATGGCTGTAATATCTTTATCTGTACTACTGTATTCAGTTGACTTCTTTTGGATACCCCAAGTTGAGCGGGAACATATATTGGTGGAACTCTGGTTGAGGAGAGGGCACTAGGAGACATTAGTAGTGGCCTACTATATAAGTGGCTTATAATTCATGTAATGTTTCCTATTGATAAATATTTAGATTGTTTACTTTTTAAATTTCAGATATTCCAGTAAACATATTTGCATGTGTCAGAAACACTTATTTTAGTAACCTTTTTATTTAGGAATAATATGTATACAAAAAGTGTACAAATTATTTTTGTACTAAGTGATAAAGGAACAATAAATAAAGGTGTAATCAGCTTCCCAGAAGTCCCCCCTCATACTGCTTTCAATTATCACAGTCCCCATTAGAGTAACGGCCATCCTAATTTCTAACACCATTTATTGTTTGAAATGTATGTGAGTGGAATCATTGTGCTGTTTTGTGCCTGGGTTCTTCCACTCACTGTAATATCTGTAAAACTCTTATATTTATGTATATCAATTCATTCTTTTTTTTTTTTTAATTGCTGTGTAATATTCTGTTGGGTGGCTGTACCACAGTTTATCCTTTTTGCTGTTGATGAACATTTGAGTTGTCTCTAATTTTTGTATGTTACAAATAGTACTATGAACACTGTTAAATATGTGTTTTGGAGAACATAGTTATACGTGTATATTGGGCATATACCAAGGAGGAGCAGTGACAGACAAAGGATATATATATGTGCAGGTTTAATACTGCCAACAGTTTTCCAAAGTAGTCAAAACTATATCACACTCCAACCAGCAGCGTCTGGGCTGTTTTTAAAAAATAACTTCATAGAAGTGATATTTGAGTAAAAATGTAAATTCATTTTAAGTTTTAGAATATACTGCTAGATTTGCCCTCAGAAGTACTGATTCGTACTCCATTAACACTAGGTTTTTTCTAGCTCTTTCATCTTTTTCAATTTATAGTGAAAAAATATCATTTTTAAACTTCTTCAAATGAGTTGAACTTTTTATGTCTTAATTCTGCCCTTTTTGTTTGTTTGTTTTTGTTGATGGCCTGCATGGGGATCTGAACCTTTGACTTTGAATTTTGCCCATTTCAATGGTCTTTTCTTGACTTGGCTGTTCTGGGCTTTTCATTGTTGGGATATTTGTATTTTTTTCCTCATTGCTTTGTTTTGTAATAACTCCTTACTTTAAAAATCCACATTTTTTTGGGGTATTTTTTTCCTCATTGCTTTGTTTTGTAATAACTCCTTACTTTAAAAATCCACATTTTTTTTTTTTTGGTCATATGCTCTAATTTTTTTCTTCTTAGTTTGTCTTTTATCTTTGTCTTGTGTAGTATAGATATTTAAAATGTGTGCATGTGTGTCTGCTAATCTTTTCCTTTGTGGTTTCTGTCTGTCGTTCTTAGGAAAGCATTTTCTACTCCAAGATTTTTTTTTTAAAGTTTGTTATCTTTGAGGGCTTTATTGTTTGTATTTAATTTTGTTTATTATAACTAAATTTGACTTTTTTCAATGGCACAGGTTGCTTTAAACATGCTGTGCTTTTATTTATTACATTACCATTAATTTTGGAATATTTTGCAGGATGTCAGAGGATGGCTCTTTGGTCAGGAAGAATTTAGTACACCCAGAGCAGGCATGCATGTGTCATTTGACCAAGTGAGAAATGAAGCCAATTTTCCTATGTGGATACTATTTGAATCCATTTAATGTGCTTATTACTTAAGTTGTTAGTTTTTATTTAGAAAAGAATGAGATCTGGTGCTAGTAATGTCAAGATCACAAGTTCGGATCCCTATACTGACCAGCAGCAAAAAAAAAAAAAAGAGATCAAATTAGCCTAGACCGAATTATCTTATATAAATATCTCTTGTGGATACTATTCAAGGCTCTTGAGCAAGGACCTTGCCAAAAATACACCTGTCTTCTTGCAGTTCCTTCTGTGGCCTATAGGACATAGGCATGGAAGGCCAAATACTTAATTTCAAACCTTTAAAAATACCATTTTTCCTCTTTTTAAGAGATCATTTTAAAGTTTCATTGGTTTCTTTCTTTTTTGTGTAATAGTACATGTAATTAAAATGTAAATTGCACTGATGATTGAGAAGGATGAGACCAGTGTATCATATCTGGTTTTCTTTGTTAAGGTTACACTGGGATTTGAGAGCTTCCCAAATCTTCTACCACATGAAATTCCTATCAGTAGAGTCATTATTGGGTTAGACCATAAAGCAAAGACACAGAACAGATTTTAAACCAGTAGACCCCTCTTCTACTAATATGGATTAGTTTGGTTTCTATAATTGCATCTTAGTGCCTTAAAGGGGCAAGAGTCTCAGGGGCAAGTAAATTTTTGAGAAAGAGAACACGGAAGTGTTACCCCTCTGTTATTAGAGTCTTGGAACATACTAGAACCTAGACACAAGTTTTGGGAGGCAGGGAAAGAATAGGTGAAAATAAATACCACAGATGAGATTTTTTTTTTTTTTGACTGGTCTTTTGCTTTGCACTGCTTGTGGCAAGGTTGTATCGTTAACTATTTGGTTATTCCATAAGCCAAGGAGAAAATTTTTAGGACTTTCCTTAGGAAATTCATAATTTTAGGAACACAGTATTTCCACTTTAGGAGAATTAGTGTTTTGCTGAGTATTTGAATTTGACTAAAGGGAATACTAGATTTGTGTTAAACGTTCGTTGGGGATAGGTTGGGAAAGAGAGGGTACAGAGAGGGACAAAAACTAAAACTAAGGGCCGGCCCGGTGGCGCACTGGATAGTGCGCCGCTTGGGAAGCGCGGCGGCGCTCCCGCCCGAGGGTTCGGATCCCACATACAGACCGGTTCCTGCTCACTGGCTGAGCGAGGCGCGGGAGCAACACCGAGGGTTGCGATCCCGTTGCCGGTCCCCGGTCCGGTACGGGGGCAACACTGAGGGTTGCAATCCGTTGCCGGACACGGAAAAAGACAAAAGACAAAAAAAAAAAAAAAACCTAAAACTAAGTGCCCATTTTTCATTTACATATAGGCAAAATTCAGTCTTATACATTTTGCATATTTATACCATTTAATCCCCACAGAAATCCTATGAAGTGGTGCAGAGTAAACAAAGATGGAGGGAGTGAATTTACTTATTTTGTCTAGGCCCACAAACCCAGTAAATGGCTGTCCTGGGATCTGAACAGTAGTCTCTCTGAATTCAGAGCTAATGCATATTCTTCTCACAAGAGTATATATTGCCTTCTGAAATACCAGAATTATTATGTATGTTTCAAATCAGATTTTGGTAACACTTTAAAGGACATATCTTGGGGATGTCATCAGTAGTTCCTCAGGCAATAGAAAGCCTGTGTAATTTCCTTTACCTTCCACTATAGCATTGAGAGTAAGCATGAAGTTACGATCCTTGGAGGACTCAATGAATTTGTAGTGAAGTTTTATGGACCACAAGGAAGTAAGTACTTGTGTTGGTATGTGTTCTTCTATTACATTCTTTTACTCTGTTTTTTAATAGACAGATTATCAAAGACATGGTGGTGGGCCAGCCCCGTGGCTCACTCGGGAGAGTCCGGCGCTGGTAGCACCGAGGCCGCAGGTTCGGATCCTTTATAGGGATGGCCGGTGCACTCACTGGTTGAGCGCGGTGCAGACAACCCCGAGCCAAGGGTTGCGATCCCCTTACTGGTCAAAAAAAAAAAAGACATGGTGGCATGTATAGTTTTTGAAAAGTAGGTTTAATTGAACTCTAGAGGCAGAGGAAATCTTTCTGTTATCATAATTACTTTATATGCTTTTGTCTTTCATCTCTATGTGACAATATTAGATGTGTGTTTGAATTCTGGGTTTTGCTATGGATGGTTTCTGGGAAATATTTTTTATTTTGTTTTTGTCTTTTGGGTGGGGAGGCATGGGGTTGGTTGAGATAGGAGGGAAGGTAGCATGGCTTTACTTACCAAATAATTGAATAGTGTTTGATACTTTAAAAAATCAAGTAAATTTGGCAGAGAGAATGAATCTTTGCTCATTTTCTAACTCTGGATCTTTTAAGGAAAAGTATCTTAGTCTGAACATAGGGTACCTACTGGTTGTAATAGGTCCCTGACTCTTGGTGGAATTAGTTTGAAAGGTTTTCAGAAGAGATTAGGGTTTAATGTTTAACTTACACTCAGATTTATTTTCTAATTTGGAGACACAGTACTAATGTTTAACATTTTCCCTTGTATTTTAGCACCGTATGAAGGCGGAGTGTGGAAAGTTAGAGTGGATCTTCCTGATAAATACCCTTTCAAATCTCCGTCTATAGGTATGTGATTACTTGGTTTCTTTCCTTAGAGAGTTTTGAAATCTAAGAAAAAAAATCCTACATTTTGTGGAGGATAATTAATTCCAGAAATGGTTACTTAACTGAGTTTTTCCTGTTTTGGCTTTGATTAATTAGTGACTTTTGGGAGACTTTCATAGTGTGGTAGAAGGTATTTAATATCCTTCACATGATTATAATGACCATTACTCTAGATTTTTGTCTAGAGTAGTTTAGTTTTGTCTGCTTGTAGTTTAGTTTATTAGTAGATAACCATTACTCTAGATTTTTGTCTTTCAGTGTCAGATTAAACCAACAGCTTTAAGGGCCACTGTCCATTTGGGCTGTTAACAGTAAAATAATAAACATATACTCTAGATTTTTGTCTTTCAGTGTCAGATTAAACCAACAGCTTTAAGGGCCACTGTCCATTCGGGCTGTTAACAGTAAAATAATAAACATATATATATATATTTTTTTTTAAAGATGACCGGTAAGGGGATCTTAACCCTCGACTTGGTGTTGTCAGCACCACGCTCACCCAGTGAGCGAACCGGCCATCCCTATATGGGATCCGAACCCATGGCCTTGGTGTTATCAGCACCACACTCTACCGAGTGAGCCACAGGCCGGCCCAATAAACATATTTTAAATCTCATTTTGAATTCCAGATTGTTGGAATGAATGTTATGTAGATGAAGTATCTATTCTAGTTCTGGCACTTAAATGTCCTCTATAGGTCCTACTTCACTTTTGTTCACTCTAATTCTGAGTACCTCACGATGAAATAACACCTTTCCATTCTCCCTACCTCCGATTTTTAGCCCTCTAAAACAGTGGAAGAAAGAATAGAAACTCAGTGAGGTTGTACACCTTCATCTTCCTTCTGCCTAAGGAATTGGTGCTGTTATTAACCTGTCACCCCATTGAGACACTCAGTGACAATTTAGATATTTTGGTTAACTTAATCCAACTTTTTTTTTTACTTCAATATGTATATGATTTTAAAATGTTATAAAATATTAACGAATTTTAAGTAAGTACAATAAAATTGGAATATATTGAGTATTCTCTGGTCTGACAAAGCTTCATGTTTGAAATTACCAGAGTTCAAACATCTTTCTACTGCTGCGGGTTGTCTTTAAGAACTGCCAGATCTTTTGGAGTTTAGATCACCCCGCACTCCACCCCCATCCCCAACAAAAAGGGTTTTTAAAAAGAGGTGGACAAAACATTCTAAGCTTTATGCTTGGATTCCAGGCTCCCGCATTTCTACATAGGGTAAGTAGAAAAGTTAGGATAGTCCCAGATTAAGTCCCAATCAAAAGCACCAACCTCTCCCCCAGTATCTAGCCACTCTACATGCTTTAGAGTTTTATGCTATAAAAATACTCTATAATTCCTTGTCAGGCTGGGAAACTATTAGTGCTCATTTGAAGAATGAACTGGTAATTTCCTTGAGGTCCTTTAGGTGAGCTTTCTAAGCCCAGTAATCAAGAAGATTCTTTATGGATAATTGAATTAGAAATTTCCTCATTGCTACAAGGGCCTCTAAGTTTTAGAGTTAAGGGTGGTGGGAGCTGTGAAAAGCACATCTGACCTGTATAGTTGAGGGCAGTAGCTGTTTCCCTAGCTCAGTCTTACTCATTAAGAGAACTTTTCTGTCATTCTGTGGTTCCCCATCCCCACTTCATTTCTCTCTTTAGTGTGTTTCTTTCTGTTCAGCCATTTTAAAGTTTTATGTACTTGAGTTGGTTTGATCTTAAAGCCTTCACAGAATGTCCAAAACATATAAATTCATTCAAATGTATTTGATAAATAACCTATTTACTTAGACTGAAAGTTGGCAATCTAAGTCAGTTTTGCCACCTCATATCCCTAATCAGTAAAAGAAACAATAGAGCTCATTGATAGTGGACCTATAAAAATGCAATTACATTTTCCTGTAGAAACGTAGTGATTTCTCAAACCTTGCCTTAACATTATTCCAGGTAATATGATTGATATGTTACGATAAAAATATGTTATGATATGATTGAAAGTTATGATAAAATATTATAACTTTCTAAGTAAAAATATCTAAACTTTAGACATTGCTTATTTATTAACATGTGACATAAAGAAACCTGTGTAATTTCTTAATGATGTAATATAAAAGGTTGGGACAAATGACTAGGCTAATTTAACTTCTTCATAATTTTTCCTTTGCCTTTCTGTGTGCATTCAGAACTTGGTAATGCCTACAAATGTGTATCATCATCTTCTCTTAGGGAAGCAGATCTAGTTGAAATATTTGTACAAGCTGTCCTTGTTTCCTCCAAAGGAAGATTGCATAAGAGAGTTTTAATCAGTTCTGTGGGGTGACCCATTTTCAGGTCATCAACAGTGTAATTACTGTTGAGATGTGCTTTAAGCGTTTTGAGAGGTAGTGGCTCACTTAGAAAAGGGAAGGTTTCCTTGAATTGAATATATAGTTGTAAAATTATACAGAAGGGCAACCTTGTTCTTGTTGTATCTGGGCAGGAGTACCATTCTTCCTGAGCCAAATTTTGAGCTTTTAAATATTAAGCTGTGCAAATTTAGATTAAAAATCTTTAATGCTTAGATCTTGGAATTTTAAAGTATACATAGATATGACAGTACTTCAAAAGGTTCGTAGAAAATTTTAATTAAAAGATAATATAAAGAATCTTTCCATGAACTTTTTGAAGACCCCTTGTATATGTGTATATGTACATTTTTGTTTTTGGTTTTATGTGTGTATATATTTTAATTGTAAAAATGTATAATTGTATAAATGATCCATATCCATTGGAGGAATGTAAGAAAGTCCAGGTGAGCAAAAATAAAGAAAAATTAAGATGTCTTACCATCCTATCCCTTAATGGGTATTCTTATGTACATTCTAGTGTATGTTCTTTAAAACATTTCTCTATGCATATTTAAATATATGTTTGATATAATTTGACATGCTCATCCTTGGGACATTCTCCAAATATAGTTTTAGAGAGTTTTCAGTAGTTACGTGATTGCATGAGATGTCCTTTTAAAAACAGTTTAAATCTATAAATGAGTGGACATTTTTTCAAAATAATGACATAGCTACCCTAAATCCTCTTTTGAAAGAAAAAGAATATAAATAGACACCTTGGGAGATTATGAACTTACTCTTAATGATGCCATCATCGTTTCAGACACTTTGAGCTCATCTTTTGGAATTTTACATTCTCTTTGAATATCATAAGTGATGGCAAGTCTCAGTGTTTTGAAGCTGGATATGAATTTTTGGAATGGCTAAAGGTCATTTAAAAGCCCAGAAAATAAGATGACTGGAAAAACTGAGTAATATCAATTGGGGTATAAAACTGGTCTTCTGGGCGCTTTCAAAGAGAAATGATAAAACCCTTTAATCAACTGTAACATCATTGAAATATTTGCATAGTGTTCCAGAGAGATTGCTTTGAAATGATCATATTTGAATGTCTAAGTTCTGATTTATTTGAAAACTCAGACTTATTTTTATCTTTTTCATTCAGAAACATTTCCTAGAGTGCTTAGCAATGCTGCTGGGTGTCACTGACTATGTAGAATTAGGAGAGTGTGATTGATCAGTCGACTGGTTATCAGGAAAGAGAAGTTCTCGCCCTGGTGCTCCTTGACCATGGGAGTTATACTCAACCATTGTCTTCTCTCCTAGAAAATGAAGTACTAGAATTCAGTGAACTCTGCATGTTTGAAATTGACCAAAGTATTAAGACTTAGGGTTATGGCATCCTGATGGACATTAGGAAGGCTGTGTAAGGCTAGTTAGGAGAGAAGATGAACATAAATAAAATAGTATACATGTTTTAGTGGCACCATTCCATCGTTTTTTAGGAGAGGTGTGAGTCAGTGCCTCAGTTTAGAAGAGAATGTATGAGGAGATAGGCTTTAACAAGAATTGTGTTTTGTATGTTGAAAATAGTCTTTACAAAACTTCGGAGATGTGAAGGTGTACATAATGAATTTTGAAATGCTCATGCAGAACCCCAAGTAATCCCCAATTTGTGAAGATTTTGTTTTATGAAAAGAAGTTGCTACAGAGCCTGCCATATTCCATACTTCTCCAGGTTCACAGTTTTTAGCCATTACATGTGTGCTCAGCAGTTAGGAGAAGGCTTTCACCAGTCAAAGAAAACACAGACTTGGAGTTACTGGGGGTAGGTGGAATAAAATGAGTGATCTCATATAAAAAAAAGAGGATAATACGGAGCAATTTTTTATAAAAATAAAAAGTAACCAATAAGCATAGGATACAAAATGGTTTTATGTCTAACCCATATATGATTTATGAAACAGGCAGATTAAACAGTGTTGGTAAATGAATTATGATATAGCCAATCTACGAGTATGAGGACACTTCAAAAAGTTTGTGGAAAGATTTGTATTATCTTTTAATTCTATTTTTCCATGAACTTGTTGGGGCAGGGGGGTGCTGGCTGGTACTGGGATCTGAAACTTTCACCTTGGATTTCATCAACTTTTTGATGCCACCGGGCTGGCCATTTTTTCTTTTAAATTTTAATTATGCGTGCATGTAAGTGTGCATACTGTTTTCTTTCCTTTGTCTTTCTGCTTGTAGTTTAGTTTATTCCATCTCAGATACTGTTTTTACACCTTTACATTCTTCCCCTCTTTTCACTTCTCTTGGACCTTAAGCAGTTCTCATTTTCTTTTCTGTCTGATTCTTCCGCTTTATTCTTCTAATAAAATAGGGATATAAAATATTAGCTTCAGGGCTTTCAGCCTCTGAAGGTCTTGAAAATACCATGGAGTCCCCTTCAGGATCAACAGTACATACCTACTTTACTTAAACACTAGCATTAAGATAAAATTAAGTCATTATTTTATTTTATATTTAAATGATTATTGGCTAGTATATTAATAGAATTATGTTCTACTAATTTTGGATAGAACTATCAAGTATTTCAGAATCTTTTGTAAGTCACCTTAAGATCAGCCTG